GAAGCTGGTCAGAACTCCTTTATCATGTTATATACATTAAGCTTGAAGCTGGTCAGAACTTCGTTATCATGTTATGTACATTAAGCTTGAAGCTGGTCAGAACTCCTTTATCATGTTATATACATTAAGCTTGAAGCTGGTCAGAACTTCGTTATCATGTTATGTACATTAAGCTTGAAGCTGGTCAGAACTCCTTTATCATGTTATATACATTAAGCTTGAAGCTGGTCAGAACTTCGTTATCATGTTATATACATTAAGCTTGAAGCTGGTCAGAACTAACGTTATCATGTTATGTACATTAAGCTTGAAGCTGGTCAAGTACGGCAGTTTAAAACTATCACAAGAAATACGGCATTTTCTTGCAAATTTGGACCTACACACCAGAAATCAACATAAACTGCAATATAAGACTAACTAACTTGTAAGAAAGTATTGTGTCCATAACTTATCGTCCATAACTTATCGTCCATAACTTACCGTCCATAACTTACCGTCCATAACTTATCGTCCATAACTTACCGTCCATAACTTATCGTCCATAACTTACCGTCCATAACTTATCGTCCATAACTTATCGTCCATAACTTATCGTCCATAACTTATCGTCCATAACTTACCGTCCATAACTTATCGTCCATAACTTATCGTCCACAACTTATCGTCCATAACTTATCGTCCATAACTTATCGTCGATAACTTATCGTCCATAACTTATCGTCCATAACTTATCGTCCATAACTTATCGTCCATAACTTATCGTCCATAACTTATCGTCCATAACTTATCGTCCATAACTTATCGTCCATAACTTATCGTCCATAACTTATCGTCCATAACTTATCGTCCACAACTTATCGTCCATAACTTATCGTCCACAACTTATCGTCCATAACTTATCGTCCATAACTTACTGTTACAAAAAACGCGATTCTAAAATCTTAGAGATCTCCAGTGAATACTAGAAAGGACTGCCCTTCTAACATCCAGCCTGTTACTGGGTTTTCGTAACAAGTAGTCAGTATCCTTGTCCAATTATCCATTAAAATTCAGTATGATTCAATAGTGCTTTAGGATTACAACTGGTAGGCTACTAACTAGAGAAATTAAAATTTAATAAATTTATTAAGTAGTAAGTTGTCTAGAGGTATATTATCAAATTAAATTAATTACAGCAATCAAAATAAAATCAATCTCTCGAGTTCAATATTATTGTGCTGAAAGCACATATCACATTTATAATTCTTAAGTACCGTCAGGTACATTAACATTATATAAGATATTACAAATATGTACAAGTGTGTATGCGTGTAAGTGCTCTTTAGTAGTTAGCTATGTCTCAAGACTCGAATAAGACTTAAACAAGTGACTGACAAAGTCCTCAAATAAACTAACTTCTTCACCGACTGGCAACCCGAACAGTCTGCTTGAACAACAAAGAATGCTAAGCCCAATAGCAATGCAATATGCGACTGCGACACAATCAGGATCAAGGAGATAATATAACGACACTAAGTAGGGACCTTCTGCAGATCCTCCACCAAAGTTACAAACTCCCTTAATACTGAATCTAAGTTCAGCATAGGTAAAACCATGACTGTGACAATACACAGGAACCAGTACAAAATTAGGTCAGAAGCTATAGCTAAGGACCTGAGATGTTCAGAGTGTCTATGTGACACACAACCTCAGTACAACGTCGAAAATCACTAAGTCTTTACAATGTTCTGTGAACAAAGTTCTACAGAACTAACAAGAATAATGAGACAGACAATCTGTCCAACCAGCAAGCGAGTCTCCAGCAGACTGAATACTTCACACGAGGTGAGGACACCCCCCCCTCGATCACGTGATAGCTACGTGGACAACTGCAGCTCAGAAGCCGGGAGTATAACGAGCGACAAGCGATAATTACAGTAGTTTGACAATCAAGCCTAACTGAGCACATTTTATATACATCCTAACAACATAAGCTAAATAACAATATAACAGTCAAATAATAATATAAAGTCATACATTTACGATTTAGGTATTATCGCAAATATAAGCAATATAAAATTAAATGAAAAGGTAATATACATTATATATACATAATAAGCATTGTAACCCATTCAGGGGTTGCAACACTTACCGTCCATAATTTATCGTCCATAACTTATCGTCCATAACTTATCGTCCATAACTTACAAATGTTTAAGAAAGGTCTTGAGAACACAGAGATGTAACTGGTATATTAAACAACTAACGTAAGATAATCAAATAATACAAAATCTGTGAATTTTCTGGTCAAAACAGATTTTCTTTAACCGTCCTACAGAAACCAATTAACAAAATTAGCATATGATAACTTACACAACATTAAGAGACACTTTACCTTCAGGAAAATTTATTAGAACTAAAAATTTATAGATGATCAGTAATTTATTTTGTAGTTTATGAGGAGATCTCAAAAATTGTGCCAACACAGCTTGTAGACATGCAACTTCCCATCCATTGAACCTTGATAAACCATCCCACTGGCTGGGATAGAACCCACGATCAGAGAGTCATAAAACTCTGGGTTTTATGACTCTCTGGCCGCGTGTTCTAACTCCACCCATGGTATAGTTTGTTTGCTATCATATCATTATAGTTTCGTGAGATATTGAACCTTGATGATATACACAGTTATATTTTAATCAAAGGAAAGGACAAAACCTGTAAGGGTCAAATAGCACCTGTGGAATATGAGACATTTAAATCCAGTTCATGCAAGGGCACGATAAGTCAAGTTTCTTGGATCAAGAGCCCCTTACCTGCATCAGTGGGGAAATATTACAATAAGACGGAGACGTTCTCCTACAACCACATGTACACAAAAATATGGGAGTGTCCTGTGTAGTATAGATCATGAGGGAGCCACCCATGCAAATAGTGCCATGAATCTTGCACAAGTTATATTACACAAGTTGAAAGAGATTGTTTGGTTGCAATGTTGTTATTAATTAAATACCACTCGTACGTGGTTACAATATATATATTATATATATATATATATATATATATATATATATATATATATATATATATATATTATATATATATATATATATATATATATATATATACAATGTGTGTAATGAGCTATTGAGCTACAGTAAACTGCCAATTAAAACGGTTTTCTTTATAACGTTTTCTCCATTAAACTATTGTCAAATTGCGGCATATTCTCGCTTTACACTTCGTAAAATTTAATTTAAACTGTCCTGCTTCTCGGTAGGGAAAAATTTCATCGGCGCAAGCTGCATGAATGACTTATTATCTGACCTGATTTACTTATTTTCTGAATGACTTGAATGATTTACTGACTGGCTTACTTGACTGACTGACCTACTAACTTGACTGATATACTGATGTGACTGACTTGCTGACATGACTGACCAGCTTGACTGATTTACTGAATGACTTTACTGGTTGACTTACTGATTTACTGAATGACTTTTTTATATACTGACTGCTTACTACTTGACTAACTGACTTCAACGAGATACTACTGTTGGCTTACTGACTTGACTGACCAACTTTATAGATTTAATGAATGACTTGACTAACTTGAATGAGTGACCTACTGACTCACCTGACTGGGCTGACTTACTGACTAAACTACCATCCACCTCAGCCTAGATGGGCCTTGGGATGCCTTTCCACAATTTAAGGTAAGAAATATTATTTAAGGTAAGAAATATTATTTCTGTTGCATTTCTAGCCTTAAGCAACAGAAAAACATACATTGTAGCAATAATGAACAACAACTGCATTATTATTTTTATTTTTGTAAGATTTGTAGGCCTAAATAAAAGGTGTTTGGCTTTTTGAGGGGTCCCAGGAACCTAACACTATTTTTCCCATAAGTTCATCAGTTCCATTAACACAGATTCGTCTAACACTGCATTTTCAGGAACCTAACTATCGTCTTAATCGACGGTTTACTCCGTGGGTGGATAACGAAAGATAACCCTGAGCTATTTCAGTTAACGTTCCTCTCCGTAAGTGTTCAGAGGAAGTGAAGAGTCTGTTTATTTACAGCTTCCACACCTTACAAAACATGTAATATATGCAAGGAATGGAATACACCCTTAATGATTGGAAGTCAAAGCTTCTGTTGATTCAGTAGAGAGAGAGAGTGGTTCCTAACCTGTCATTGAGTTCCAATTAATTTATAGCAGAGGTCTTTGAAATGTCAATTATTTTGAGACTATGAATTGGGTGCACATACCCAGATTTCAAAATTTTTAACACAAATAGAAGGGTAAGTATCATGGAGGGATTGGCTAATATAAATAAAAGTTACCAGCAGATACACATATACACATATAAGTGGAAGATAGGTATTAATAAAGTGGGTATAAATAAAGTCTTAAGGATCTCTCTCCAAGATAGAACCCGCAGTAATGGATTCAAATTAGATAAGTTAAGATTTAGAAAGGACATAGGAAAGTATTGGTTTGGAAATAGGGTAGTTGATGAGAGGGACAGTCTACCTAGTAGGGTTATTGTAGCTAAAACCTTGGGTAGTTTCAAGTTTTATGTTTAATAAATACATGAATGAGATGGGTTGGATTTGAATGGGACCTGCACATGAGTAAACTGATTTGTCAGAGCTTATTGTTAGGGTAGCATTGAAGGTGGGTTGGGCAAATGTTCTGTTAGTGGGATGTATTTGTGAAGGACCTGCCTAGCATGGGCCCACAGGCCTGCTGCAGTGTTCCTCCACTCTTATGTTCTTATGTAAATACACAAATAACCCTCACGTAGGAGAGAGAAACTTACGACAACGTTTCAGACGTTGTAACCTGCTATCTATGTGCGGGTTATTCATGTATTGTTCCAGTCACGGTATTGTGCCTTTTTCTTCTTCACAAATAATAGATAAAATACACAAAAGATAGGTACAGATGTAAGAAAATGATGAACTAAATATATGTACAGAAGTGAGATTACCTCTCGTCAAATGAGCCTACCATATTGTTTCTGGTGTCGCTGAGAGCGGATACAAGACTGATGTATCTGTCGGTGGTGGGTGAACTGCCATCATCACAAAGGCAGAAACAGTAGGAACAGTGATACCAGAATCTCCACCAGGAATTTACCTTGATGACAGACCCACTACAAGGTTCAGATGACCCCAGCAGAATACCATTACCATACTTGATGGACTCATATCGACGGTATAACTTCCTGGAATGGCATATACCGGAATATGCATGGTTATACTGGCAGTCATGAAGGGTACCCATACATCGACGTCTCTTGCCACAGTACTGGATTTCATGTATGTAGCAGCCTTCACTCTTAGCATGCTGATAATATGCACAGTTCTGTGAACAAGACCCATCTGTGCTCATGTCCACTTCATTCTCTACGTAACCCTGAAACAGAATTATTTAATCTAGAGAGGTTGCGTTACATTCCGCAATATTATTTCTGTACACATACATACATATCACCATGGAATTCAAAATTTTAAATGGCACGCACAAGGAAAACAAGTGTGCAATATATATCAATGATGAAACATGGAAAAAACGCTCCCAAATAAGCCATACAGTCATGAGAAAATATTTCTTCAGCCTGAGAGTAGAGTGAGCGTATGGAGAAACGGAGACAAAGCCCAGAAATATAGATTCTCTTCTCTGGACAAGCAGAAATCGTAGATAAAAGTTTTGTCTCTTCATATGCTTTGGACCTAGACGGAAAAATCTGGTAAATCAGAACAGCAATGCTAAATTTGAGGGATGAGAGGGGAAAAAAGGCAATAATGAGTAGCATTAGATGAGATAATAGTTGTTCTGAGGCCCATGTTGGATGAGGAAAGGGAAAATTGTTTAAAAATTTTCAGAAGGAAGAAATTGAGATGTGTTATAAAAGGAAATATATTGGAGAACAAGAACAATGAACTGATATAACTAATAAAAAGAGATGTAAGCCGGACCCCGGTGGCCTGGTGGCTAAAGCTCCCGCTTCACACACCGAGGGCCCGGGTTCGATTCCTGGCGGGTTGGAAACATTTCTACACGTTTCCTTACACCTGTTGTCCTGTTCAGCTAGAAGCAAGTAGGCTCCTGGGTGTTAGTCGACTGGTGTGGGAGGCATCCTGGGGGACAAGATTGAGCACCACAATAGAAATAAGAAATATTGGGTTATCATGGATGGCTAACCCTCCAGGGTTAAAAATCCGAACAAAATCTTATCTTGACACAGGAAATGAAAGAGCTAGAGATCGTAGAGAATCTGTGTGAGAGAATAGACAGTGTAGTAATAATGAAGGAAAATTAATTAACATGGGGATCTGGAAATGAAAATTGAGGAAAGTCATTGGCGTAAATAACCTCAGAAGACTGGAAAGAAATAACCTCAGGAGACTGGAAAGAAATAACCTCAGGAGACTGGAAAGAAACAACCTCAGGAGACTGGAAAGAAACAACCTCAGGAGACTGGAAAGAAACAACCTCAGGAGACTGGAAAGAAACAACCTCAGGAGACTGGAAAGAAATAACCTCAGGAGACTGGAAAGAAACAACCTCAGGAGACTGGAAAGAAATAACCTCAGGAGACTGGAAAGAAACAACCTCAGGAGACTGGAAAGAAATAACCTCAGGAGACTGGAAAGAAACAACCTCAGGAGACTGGAAAGAAATAACCTCAGGAGACTGGAAAGAAACAACCTCAGGAGACTGGAAAGAAATAACCTCAGGAGACTGGAAAGAAACAACCTCAGGAGACTGGAAAGAAATAACCTCAGGAGACTGGAAAGAAACAACCTCAGGAGACTGGAAAGAAACAACCTCAGGAGACTGGAAAGAAATAACCTCAGGAGACTGGAAAGAAATAACCTCAGGAGACTGGAAAGAAACAACCTCAGGAGACTGGAAAGAAACAACTCAGGAGACTGGAAAGAAACAACCTCAGGAGACTGGAAAGAAACAACCTCAGGAGACTGGAAAGAAAAACCTCAGGAGACTGGAAAGAAACAACCTCAGGAGACTGGAAAGAAACAACCTCAGGAGACTGGAAAGAAACAACCTCAGGAGACTGGAAAGAAATAACCTCAGGAGACTGGAAAGAAACAACCTCAGGAGACTGGAAAGAAACAACCTCAGGAGACTGGAAAGAAACAACCTCAGGAGACTGGAAAGAAACAATCTCAGGAGACTGGAAAGAAACAACCTCAGAGATGGAAGAAACAACCTCAGGAGACTGGAAAGAAACAATCTCAGGAGACTGGAAAGAAACAACCTCAGGAGACTGGAAAGAAACAACCTCAGGAGACTGGAAAGAAACAATGTCAGGAGACTGGAAAGAAATAACCTCAGGAGACTGGAAAGAAACAACCTCAGGAGACTGGAAAGAAACAACCTCAGGAGACTGGAAAGAAACAACCTCAGGAGACTGGAAAGAAATAACCTCAGGAGACTGGAAAGCAATGGAGATATAGAGAGAAAGAGGACTGTGAAACGAAGTTACTACCGCAGTTTCACCCTTGGGTAGACAGAGCAACAGACAATGCCATAATGTCTATCTTCCCACAGGCGGAAACTCGGGGTGAACTAAGATATATATATAAATAGTAAGTAAATGAAAAGGATCTATAACTAAAATTTGAGAGGAAAGAAAGATAAGGTTCAATTCTCTGAATTAAGAATATGGAGAAGAGACACAAGGAATAAGAGCTTGAACAGGATAAACCTAATGGGAAAAATACAGGATACTTAAGACAAAGTGTTAGTTCTGATAAGTTCTGGCTCTCGAGGTAGCTGGGCTGAAAATTAAGCAGTAGGCACATATACCAGATACCTTTCGTTTACCAAGGGTATACCAAATACCTTTGGTGTTTGTGCCTGGGAATCTATTACAGCAAATCACAAAAAAATAAAATGATAACAACACATATCTACTGCCAGACAACACATTTCACCATTCTTCAAATATTTAAACTCACTCAGTATATATTATATTCACTCGAACTACTGTGCATACTATATATACAGGACAGTCAATTCTGATATAAATCCTGAAACTCTTTCCTGATAGCTGCAACAGAACTCATAAACATAACACAAAACATAAAAACCTCTTTGATGTCCCCTATATCCGACTCGTCATGTGTCAAAAGACAATGTACTTAAAAAGCATTAAATATGTAACTCCTTAGGTGAACATTAAAATGGTATACAATACCGACAGGTTGTTAGGTAAGACACATATGCAACAGTTAGGTATCTTTATTTCGAAACGTTTCGCCTACACAGTAGGCTTCTTCAGTCGAGTACAGAAAAGTTGATAGAAGCAGAAGATACTTGAAGACGATGTAATCAGTCCATCACCCTTAAAGTTTTGAGGTGGTCAGTCCCTCAGTCTGGAGAAGAGTATTGTTCCTTCCAACGACAATATTCTTACCTCTACTAGTGGCCTACGTCTCACCTCCTGGCGCTATATAAGGCTCCATCCTGTCACTTCAACTCCATATTGTTTCAGACAACGGAACAATGCTCTTCTCCAGACTGAGGGACTGACCACCTCAAAACTTCAAGGGTGATGGACTGATTACATCGTCTTCAAGTATCTCCTTAGCTGAAGATTACCAAAGGTTTCCTATCTGTCAACCATTTCACATCTATTTTTTAAAAGTACTTCCCTGCCTTAATAACAACAATGTAAACCACTCATTGTAATCTTTACAGAGAAATAAAAATTTGAATTTGAGTAACACTGCAGCATGCCTACTGACAGCACAGCATGATACTATATCAAACAACTCATGACTCCCGCTGTTTTCAGCCGGTTCTGTTCCTGTTTATCTTCATCCAGCTTTCTTTCCACTCCCATATATTATTAGATACATATACTATCTCATTATATTTGTATTGTAATTTAAGTAACTAGTAACACGCTGCTGAACTTATGAATTATATCAATTATAGTATAGGCTAGGTTTAGCCTGAGATGTTATGCATTCTTTGGGTCTTCCACTTACTAAATGTCTTATGCAGTTATACTTAAGCTTAGATTAATATCTGCCTTTGTATCTGACCAACATTAGCAAACAAATCGTCTCAGTAAAACTTCCAATAAATTGTTCTTGTAAAAATTTTAGAAGCAGATATATGTGGCATGCAAAGAGTACGTAACTTTTATTCGGCGCATGTACACACCCTCATTTACAGGCTATCTCCCCCAACCAGCGAACCAGGTTGCTAAGAGTTGATGATGGGGCCCCGTCGTTCAACTAGTGACCAGGTTCTAGCCAATAAGAAGATGGTTTTGGCAATCGCAGAGGTTATGTGGGTACCACTCTCCTGTCTGCCCTTGTCATTCTCATTCTAGAGCTGGTTGAAGCACGGTCTGCTATCTTGTGGCTTCTATTCTGCCTTGCTTACCGTGGAGTGCACTATACTTATCACTGTACATAGTGTATATAGTGTACATATTGCTGCTCTAAATTGGTGAAGGATAATGTAAGTCAAAACTTTTCTGCTGTGTTTATTTTGCTCCCTTTACACCCAGGATAACAGGCCATTTGGACTCCTGGGTTGTAATAATATAAATTATGAGTTGTGACAAACTAATTTAAGGCTGCTCAAAATGTTCTGCATAACCTAAAGGCACCTAAAGGCAGTTCCTGATCAGCCGGGCTGTGGCTCGTACGTTGGTTTGCGTGCAGCCAGCAGCAACAGCCTGGTTGATCAGGCGCTGATCCACCAGGAGGCCTGGTCACAGACCGGGCCGCGGGGGCGTTGACCCCCGAAACTCTCTCCAGGTAAACTCCAGGTAACCAGGGACTTTCTCTAAAGTATTTCAGTACATTTTCCGAATCAACCGAAAAACATAGAAATTAAGTTTATCATTTATCAATGAACGGAAAGTCTAGACAACATAAACCAGAGATAGCTCAAGAAATAATGTATAGAATATGGTACAGATGTACCAAATAATGTAAACTGAAAGTATAAATAGTTAGGGAAACCCAATTGATTATGAAAATCACAGAAACAAAAGTAATTTAAGTGATCAAAGATGCCATTTTTTCCAGACGGACATGAAGCACTGATGAACACAAATGGCGCATAGGGATACGGAGAAGGCGAAGGAGTTGCACTGCAAATCAGAAATCATTAGAATTTTGAATATATGCAGAGGATAAACGCAAATTATTCAGCGGGCACAATAAAGATTGAAGGACCAAAAGCAGTGATCTGTAGCCCACCACCAAATGTAAGAGAAAAGCAAGAATACGAAGACAGCAAATCAGCAATAATTGGCACCACTGCAGAAGAAGGAAGAAGAGCTCAAATTGCTAAAGCAGACTATTTATCCTGGGTAATTTCATTTACAAAGAAACATAGTAAGAGAATTGGGACCCACGTGGGAGACACGAAATGAGAAGCCTAAGATGATGGAGGTGGTTAGGGAAAATTTTATGGATCAGCATGTCAGGGACACAACAATTTGGTGAGACAAGGAGATGAGCCAGCAAGAATTGCTCTAGTATTTACCACAAGTACATCTTATGTAAGTGAAGAAGAATATGAGGACCTACTGAGCGCTAATGAATATACAGTCCAAATCTTCCATTATTTAATGGAACTAAAGGTAGAGGGAAAAATGGTAAGTGGAGGAAGCGAGAAGACAGTCTTCAGAAGGAGGAATTTCGAAATGTTGGATTGCCTGAATGCAGTGCAGTGAGATAGAGACCTGGAAGGAAATTCGGTGAACGATATGCACCTAGTTGGAAAACGAGGAAAAAATGGGAACAGCAAAGACAAAGGAGCCCTTGACTCAGCAAAATATAGAGAAGCAAAAGAGATGCATAAGAGCATGGAAAGTGAGGGGCAAATGAGACTCAAGAAGTGAACAGATTATCTAGAAACGAATGTGCAAGGATGAGAAGGGAGGCTCAGACACAATATAAGGATGGCTTAGAAATAAAGTATAAGTCAGAACCATAACTGCTTACAAGCCACTTCAGACAACAGTAAAAGATCAGGAAGAGGGAGAGCTCACAAGAAAATGCATGGCAAGTCTTTGAAATGTTGACCAAATGATTTGAAAAGCTCTACTGCCTGAAAGCTCTACTGACAGAAGACACTAACAGGTGCTGGATTACATATAAACAGCAAGGAGAGAGGTAAAGAAACCTCTGATGGACATGGATACATCAGAGACAATGCGACATAACAAGGTATCATCATGTACTCTGCCAGAGATAGCAAAAGCACTGTCTGAACCGCTAGCTAGGATCCAGAGCAAAACGAAAGATACGGGACAGTTTCCAGAGATGTGGAAGACGGTAAACGCTGTCACTATATTTAAGGAGACAGACAGGTAGTGTTGAACTACAGGACAGTGTTACTGTCACGGATTCTATGTAAGATAAATGTAAGAAAGTGGTAGAACACTTGAGTTGTTTCATAAATAATAGCCAGTACCTGGAGTTTACCTGGAGAGAGTTCCGGGGGTCAACGCCCCCGCGGCCCGGTCTGTGACCAGGCCTCCTGGTGGATCAGAGCCTGATCAACCAGGCTGCTACTGCTGGCTGCACGCAAACCAACGTACGAGCCACAGCCTGGTTGGTCAGGTACTGACTTTAGGTGCTTGTCCAGTGCCATCTTGAAGACTGCCAGGGGTCTGTTGGTAATCCCCCTTATGTGTGCTGGGAGGCAGTTGAACAGTCTCGGGCCCCTGACACTTATTGTATGGTCTCTTAACGTGCTAGTGACACCCCTGCTTTTCATTGGGGGGATGTTGCATCGTTTGCCAAGTCTTTTGCTTTCGTAGTGAGTGATTTTCGTGTGCAAGTTCGGTACTAGTCCCTCTAGGATTTTCCAGGTGTATATAATCATGTATCTCTCCCGCCTGCGTTCCAGGGAATACAGGTTCAGGAACCTCAAGCGCTCCCAGTAATTGAGGTGTTTTATCTCCGTTATGCGCGCCATGAAGGTTCTCTGTACATTTTCTAGGTCAGCAATTTCACCTGCCTTGAAAGGTGCTGTTAGTGTGCAGCAATATTCCAGGCTAGATAGAACGAGTGACCTGAATAGTGTCATCACAGTGTCAGCACAGGTTCAGAGATGGCAAATCTTGTCTTACCAACTAGTTGGAGTTCTGAAAAACATACCTCTGAGACCAATTACATCAGATATAGGTAGCACACTACCTATACTCTTATCTGAAGAATATTATCCCGACTCGTCTGAAACCCTCAGGCGATCTCCTTAACTGCCATGGTGATTTGTCTGTCCGAAACGAGAAGCTTAGTCATTTTGATGTCACTTCACTCTTCACAAAGGCCCACCGCACAAGCCAATGGACCTTAATATTCCAGTATCTTTCAGGTTTATGTTTTTTTCAATCTGATTGAACAGCCAGGTTGCCTTGAACGTCTCCAAAGTACTCGTACAAAGCCAACGCTAGAGCAGCCATCACAACCAGAACATCCAACAGTGACCAGATCCAGTCAGAACCTTGTGGAGACTGTGACAAATTATACACTGGTGAAACAGCTCGAGGCTTAGAAACACTTCTCCGTGAACACATCAACGCATGAAGAAACGAAGAATAACACATGCATACAACACTAGAACTATGTCAACAATTAATGATTAAGGAACCAAACCCTCAAAGTAGAAAATGTATTGAATCGTCATTAATATTTTCAAGACATTGTTTAACAGAATACATTCAACTTCGCCATCTCTGAAGTATTAAATCCAAGTTATTCAAGATTCAATTCAGCCTAATATTTTGATAAACAATTCCTCATGTAGTGTGTTCCAACAGAAAGATTCAGATGAGCCTAAGTTCACATGTCGTGATGGCCCATTTTCCTGTCTAATATAAACCCAGACGTTGTTCTTAGATTGGAAAATGGGTCAGATAAGACAGAAAACCCCGTTTACGTACCGAAATTCTAAATATGACATAGTAAGATAAGAAACACAAAATAGGTTAAAACTGTACCTGCAGAAGCTCAGTAAGTTGAACGTAGGTTTCACCCTCAATATGTTCAGACGGGTCACACCTGTAGAAACCCCGTGATTCATCAGCAATCACTCGCTTTGCTTCCCTTAAAATGTCATCGGAATATTGTAGGTACAGTTGCTCTGAGACTTCATGTTCTGCTGTGAAATTACCTGTGATAGAAAGGATAATCTGATATAGTATAAAATAATTAATTAAATGGAATAAGTAAATTGGAAAACTCGTGTAATATTAAGAACCGAACCAAAACAGAGTCATGTTTCCTGAAACACGAAAAATTATTGTGTAGGTACCTGAGTAGGCACCTGAAGAGGAGTAATCAGGAGTAACATTCTTCTCCATAAATTCGAACAGGGAAAGGGGAGAGGTATGTTTGGTCAACATCGAAGGTGTGGAAGAACAGCCCCCTCACTCAATTCATTTAAGTCTGTTAAATTAGACACATGTGCAACTTGAAGATTGAGACACTTATGCAGCATATGGGAATCTTTATTCAGGAAACGTTTCGCCACACAGTGGCTTCATCAGTCCAATACAAAGAGGAAGGCGTAAGGAGAGGAGGAGTATGAGGTGATCAGTCCCTCAACCTGGAGTCGATGTGTTCAGTCCATCAATCTTGTAGAATGTACAGCACAGGGCCGTAGATGTGGCTTATATACTGTAGTGAGGTGAGGTGAAGCAGGTGGAGGCGGGGTCATAGTGGTACCATCCACTAGTCGAAGTAGGTCTTCGTCCAAATGTTGAACAAGTGTTGAAGAATTCTTTGTAAGAAGATCCCATGATGCTGCATTCATCACAACTGTCAGACACTGCAGCATCATGGGATCTTGTTACAAAGAATTCTTCAACACTTGTTCAACCTTTGGACAAAGACCTACTTCGACTAGTGGATGGTACCACTATGGCCCCGCCTCCGCCTGCTTCACCTCACCTCACTACTTCGACTAGTGGATGGTACCACTATGACCCCGCCTTCGCCTGCTTCACCTCACCTGACTACTTCGACTAGTGGATGGTACCACTATGACCCCGCCTCCGCCTGCTTCACCTCACCTCACTACTTCGACTAGTGGATGGTACCACTATGACCCCGCCTCCGCCTGCTTCACCTCACCTCACTACAGTATATAAGCCACGTCTACGGCCCTATGCTGTACATTCTACAAGATTGATGGACTGAACACATCGACTCCAGGTTGAGGGACTGATTACCTCATACTCCTCCTCTCCTTACGCCTTCCTCTTTGTATTGGACTGATGAAGCCACTGTGTGGCGAAACGTTTCCTGAATAAAGATTCCCATATGCTGCATAAGTGTCTCAATCTTCAACTTGTCGGTTTTTCAAACCATTCATCACACATGTGCAACTCTTGGGTATCTTCATTGAGGAAACGTTTCGCCACACAGTGGCTTCATCAGTCCATACAAAGGATGAACTTGAAGAACAGGAGGAGAATGGACTGATGAAGCCACTGTGTGGCGAAACGTTTCCTCAATAGAGATACCCAAGAGTTGCACATGTGTCTAATTTAACAACATGTAGGTTCCACAATCATTTAAGTCTCCTATGGACACACGATTACAATGTTGGTGTTGCTGTTTTTCTGGAACCACGCATTTGTAGGCCTCCGGAGACGAGAAACATATTGTACATCCTAGATTAGCACACTTGGTAGTTTCTCTTCAACCTCCAGGACTCTTATACCAACATGTCCAATAAGGTGCGAGTGAGAGCTGGCATGTTGTAGGTGTATTGAAAGCTTTCTATACAGAAATAACCCGCACATAGAACAGAGAAGCTTACGACGACGCTTCGGTCCGACTTGGATTATTTACAAAGTCACACTAAGTCACACTAGTGTGACTTTGTAAATGGTTCAAGTCGGACCGAAACGTCGTCGTAAGCTTCTCTCTTCTATGTGCGGGCTGTTTGTGTATCGTTCCAGTCACGGTATTGTGTCTTTTTTTTAGTTATGTTATGTAAGCGTTCTGCATCCCCAGGATCGTCAGGTGATCCAGTCAGCAACATACATCATTGTGGCTGTGTCTGTTACTAAACAAGAATTTTTTTTTCAGGGAGTTTCATTTACATTACGAAAACCAATAACTGATGTTAATGAGAAAAGAAACTTTTAAAAGTATATAAATTCGTTCCAGAAAATTTGGAATAGGTTATTTATTAGGTAATAGTTGCACGATCCTTCTAATCACAGTACTCAACGACTAGAATTTGAGGGCTTCTTAGGTTATACATGATGTACAAGGAAATTTTGGAGAAAGGTAATTCAGGAAAGGACCTAACCTCACAGCTCTAGGTACAGTGTTATGTACCTTCCTTATGAGGCACATAAGTTCCCCCGTCTGCTGATATCATGTTTCGTAAGGTGAAGCCCAGGATCTTCACTTAACTTATGGTATAACCTATCAAATCTTGGTGACAGTTGTGTTGCAGAGGTCTGAGCAAAGTTCAGACCTCTGCAACACAATTGTTCATACCTCTGCAACACAATTGTTCAGACCTCTGCAACACAATTCTTCAGAACCTCTGCAACACAATTGTTCAGACCTCTGCAACACAATTGTTCAGACCTCTGCAACACAATTGTTCATACCTCTGCAACACAATTGCTCAGACCTCTGCAACACAATTGTTCAGACCTCTGCAACACAATTGTTCAGACCTCTGCAACACAATTGTTCAGACCTCTGCAACACAATTGTTCAAACATCTGCAACACAATTGTTCAAACATCTGCAACACAATTGTTCAGACATCTGCAACACAATTGTTCCTCTGCAACACAATTGTTCAGACCTCTGCAACACAATTGTTCATACCTCTGCAACACAATTGCTCAGACCTCTGCAACACAATTGTTCAGACCTCTGCAACACAATTGTTCAGACCTCTGCAACACAATTGTTCAGACCTCTGCAACACAATTGTTCAGACCTCTGCAACACAATTGTTCAGACCTCTGCAACACAATTGTTCATACCTCTGCAACACAATTGTTCAGACCTCTGCAACACAATTGTTCAGACCATCTGACAACCAATTGCTCAGACCTCTGCAACACAATTGTTCAGACCTCTGCAACACAAAAGTGTTCAAACATCTGCAACACAATTGTTCAAACATCTGCAACACAATTGTTCTGACATCTGCAACACAATTGTCAGACCTCTGCAACACAATTGTTCAGACCTCTGCAACACAATTGGTTCATTACACTCTGCAACACAATTGCCAGACCTCTGCAACACAATTGTTCTACCTCTGCAACACAATTGTTCATACACTCTGCAACACAATTGTTCATACCTCTGCAACACAATTGTTCAGACTCCTGCAACACAATTGTTCATACCTCTGCAACACAATTGCTCAGACCTCTGCAACCAATTGTTCAGACCTCTGCAACACAATTGTTCAAACATCTGCAACACAATTGTTCAAACATCTGCAACACAATGTTTCAAACATCTGCAACACATTGTTCAACATCTGCAACACAATTGTTCAGACCTCTGCAACACAATTGTTCATACCTCTGCCAACACATTGTTCATACTCTGCAACACAATGTTCATACCTCCTGCCAACACAATCTGTTTCAGACCTCTGGCAACACAATTGTTCATTACCTCTGCAACACAATTGCTCAGACCTCTGCAACACAATTGTTTCAGACCTCTGCAACACAATTGTTCAGACCTCTGCAACACAATTGTTCAAACATCTGCAACACAATTGTTCAAACATCTGCAACACAATTGTTCAGACCTCTGCAACACAATTGTTCAACATCTGCAACACAATGTTCAACCTGTGCAACACAATTGTTCAAAAAATCTGCAACACAATTGTTCAGTCCTCTGCAACACAATTGTTCAAAACATCTGCAACACATTGTTCAAACATCTGCACACAATGTTCAAACCATCTGCAACACAATTGTTCTCAGTCCCTCTGCAACACAATTGTTCAACATCTGCAACACAATTGTTCAGCACCTCTGCAACACAATTGTTCAAACATCTGCAACACAATTGTTCAAACATCTGCAACACAATTGTTCAGTCCTCTGCAACACAATTGTTCAAACATCTGCAACACAATTGTTCAAACCTGTGCAACACAATTGTTCAAACATCTGCAACACAATTGTTCAGTCCTCTGCAACACAATTGTTCAAACATCTGCAACACGATTGTTCAGTCCTCTGCAACACAACTGTTCAAACATCTGCAACACAATTGTGTCAGTCCCTGCAACACAATTGTTCAAGACATCATGCAACACAATTGTTCAGTCCTCTGGCAACAACAATTGTTCAAACATCTGCAACACAATTGTTCAGTCCTCTGCAACACAATTGTTCAAACATCTGCAACACAATTGTTCAGTCCTCTGCAACACAATTGTTCAAACATCTGCAACACAATTGTTCAAACATCTGCAACACAATTGTTCAGTCCTCTGCAACACAATTGTTCAAACATCTGCAACACAATTGTTCAGTCCTCTGCAACACAATTGTTCAAACATCTGCAACACAATTGTTCAGTCCTCTGCAACACAATTGTTCAAACATCTGCAACAAAAATTGTTCAGTCCTCTGCAACACAATTGTTCAAACATCTGAACACAATTGTTCAGGACCTCTGCAACACAATTGTTCAAACATCTGCAACACAATTGTTCAAACATCTGCAACACAATTGTTCAGAACCTCTGCAACACAATTTTTTCAAACATCTGCAACAAAAATTGTTCAAACATCTGCAACACAATTGTTCAGTCCTCTGCAACACAATTGTTCAAACCTCTGCAACACAATTGTTCAAACATCTGCAACACACTTGTCCTCAAAGATTTGTGAATTTAAATACCATGAATTAAATTTTAAAGATCCTGAATCTTCACCTTACGAAGGCAGACAAGACAAATGTGATAGTAATCATGGGCAAGGTAGATTAAAGGGGAAAATGAACCCTGATATTAGACGAAGAAGGGAAATTATGTCTGTCTTAACTTGTGTTTTGTCTTAACTTATGTCTGTCTTTAAATTGTGACTGCTTAAAATTAATGTCTGTCTTAACTTATGTCTGTTCTTAACTTGTGACTGTCTTAACTTATGTCTTTTC